GCTCTCCCCACCCATCCCTGAGTGCTATGGGATCCTGGCAGGTAGGCACCCGCCCTCACTGCTCGTATAGCCCTCCTGATGGGGAGCTCACTGCCTCTCAAGGAAGCCCCTGGGAACCGATGGGGCATTGTCCAGAGAGGAGATGTCTGGACGGCCAGAGGGTAGGGTCAGGGCTGGGCTATGACCTAAACACCCAGGCCTGGGGCTTTCTCTAACAGGCCTGGGGCTCCAGCTCCTGGCAGCAAGGCCAGGCCCAAGGATCCAGGGACTTTCGCCTTGTTGTCAAGAGCATATTTCAGCTATTAGGGACAGTGGCTGGGGATTTAGGGAGGATTTCTCTCTCATTTCCCAGAGCTTTCAGCAAGCCTCCTCTCTTCCCACCCCTCTGCCTGTCTGTGGGCGCACGCACACACACGCACACGCACACACACACACACGCACGCACACACACGCGCACACACGCACGCACGTGCACACACGTGCACGTGCACACATGTGCACGCATACACATGCACACACACGCAGAGTCAGTGCTCCTGTGTGGCAGAGGGAGGGAGAGAGAGAAATCTGGGTCAGCCTCCCAGGGAAGGCTCAGAGGCATCTCCCACCTTCCCCAGCAGACGCTCAGCATTGCAAGCCTGGGCTGTGGTCTGAAGGCCGAGCCTTGCCCCAGCCCACCGGAGACGCCCTGCGGTGGGACCCCAGGCTTGCCCTGCCTGCCCCTGCCTGGGCCTCCCTGTCTAGGTGACCTCACTCTTGGGCCAGAGCGTCTCCCCCAGCCAGGCCTCAGAACCCACAGGCCATTTTTGCCACACTCAGCTGATCGCATGGAGAAGCTCTCCCCATCCCCCCTGCACCCTCCGGCTTCAGCCCTGGGGTCCGGGGACAAGGGCAGAGTGGTTGGGAGGCCCGTATCGCTGGCGCCAGGCTGTGCAGGCGCAGCCCGTGCAGAGAACGCTGAGTGCAGGAGGGCCTAGCATGGCGCTGTAGGCAGTGTGGCAGGGTGTGGGGTCTGGGTAGGGTGCCGGGGCATAGGAGGGGATTCTGAGAGAAGGGCAGAGAAATAGCTAACGACATCATTGCCATTTCAGAGTGGAGCTTGGGTGAGGACTTAGCCAAAGCCCTGGGTGGTTAAATGGGTCCCTGAGACAAGACCCACGTGCAGGGTGGGAGATCCGCCAGCCTGTGAGCTCAGGGCGACGTCCGCTGGGCTGGGTGGCAGAGGGAGGGGCGAGGTTTCCTCTATGAACCAGGCCCTGTTTAGCTGGGAAAACTTGATCGTGGGGAATTACTAGGGTTCAAGCCACCCAGGGACCTTGGAAGCCTCCCCAACCCCCACCCCAGAATACTCCAAAGCCACTTCCTCCCTCCCATGGCCACCCACACTGGCACGCAGTTTTCAGGAAATCTTCCTTCCCTTCTCCCAGGGCACGGCCATGGCTGCTGAGCATGTCTGCTGAGTGCAGGAATAAGTAATTGACTTGACTTAGACTAGATATAAAGAAGGACTTCCAGATGCCACCGGCAGCCTTAGCCCAGGACTGGTCTTTACGGAGGTGAGACAGATCCTCGGGAGGACTGTCAGGGTGGGGAAGGGTGACCCTGGGCCCCCCGGAGGCCAGGTCCTGTCTTCCCAGTGTGGCCAGGCACCAGCTGCCTGCCTGCATGGGCCTTGGCCTGTCCCGGAGCCGTTCTCAACACAGCACCTGTGTCAAGGCGTTTATGAATCCGCAGCCCATTGCATTTCTAACTGGTAGGAATTTAAGGGAAGAATGTTGAGGGCAGGGGAGAATGGGGAGGCAAACCTCTTCCTCCTCAGGCTCCACCCACCTCCCTCTTGGTGCCCAGAGAGTCCAGCTGTTGCAAGCCAGGCCATTCGAGGCATTTTCTCAAGGTCACCTTGGAGGGCAAGGGGAACTGTGCTCCCCCTGGGGGCTCACTGTTCTCCCGTAGGAGACCTGGGAGGGTGGGGCTCCAGGCCAGGCACCATCACCCCAAGGTCTCAGAGCACCACTTAGGAAGTCCCTTGACTGAGGGTTATCACACAGGCCACCTGCCGAAGCAGAGCAGTGTCTCCTGAGGTCCCTGAGCCTCCGAGTCTCCCCATGGCTAAACCTCCACCTGGGCACGCCCGACTCTGCATCAGGCTGGACACGCCCCAGAGCCCAGCCGTGAGCCTGTTACCGCGCCAGGAGGAGCCCTTCTGCAGGTGGGGAGATGGGGGCTAGAGAGGAGAAATAACTGCTGACGCCTCCTCCCCCGCATGTTCTGATGAACTTCTGGAGTGAGGGTGGTGAGGGTCTGCTGCATTCTAACAGGGACTTTAGCCATTTTAAATGGAAGAATACGGCAACAGTGGTGGGATTCCAAGCCCTGCCCCTTTCCCTCTCTCCTGCCTGCCCTGGGCACCCCTGCTGGAAGAGGCTGAGCAGCTGCTCCTAGGTTGCCCCACCCACCTCTGTCCCCTGCCCCGGCTCTCCTGCCTGCCAGCTTTCAAGGCCAGGCCGCCTGGTAATCCATGAGTCAACTGGGGAGACTTCCGCTATAGCCCTCCCAGCCGTGGCCAGCTTTTCCCAGCCGGCCACGTGCCACATGCCATGGCCAACTCCATCCCGCCTACCGTGGCAGTGGCCATTCATCCATCCCTCTGTGGGAGGGTGGCTGGCCACTCCTTGTTTGTCCCCACCTCTGTGGGCAGGGCCTCAGGGACTCTGAACTCACACAGAGGTGGCACGGTTCTGAACTGACATCAACTGTCAACTGCTGTGTGGTGTCAGGCAAACTACATCCCCTCTCTGAGCCTCTGTGTTGACACCTGGGATGTGAGTTTGGTCATATGGCCTTGAGGGTCCGTGTGTGACAAAGTGTGGGAGCTGAAAGGGTGGCCACGGTGATGAGGCTCCCTTGGGCCCCTGCTTGGGGGTCCTTGGGTGGGGAGTCCTGGGGCGAGCATGACCGCACCTGCCTCCGTCAGCAAGTCGTGAAAGGGCTCTGAGAAGGGGCATTTGGGCTGGGCTCTGACAGATGGCCAGGTGCCCCCAGGTTTGGGGTGCTGGATGGTAGTCGGGGGTGGCAGGAAGGCATCCTGTATGGAGGCACAGTGAGCCCGAAGCCTTGGGGTCTGTTACTTGCACGTCTGACCACAGCAAGCCCCTGCTTACCTGCAGCTGAAGTCCCGGCTGCCTGCTAGGTCCGGTCCCTGCCAGCTTCTCCAGGCATCCAAGCCATTGCCTTTGCCCCCAGGGCTCCAGCCTTAATGAATTTTTCAAAGTTCTCTGTAGGCTATACCCTTTGTTCCACTTACTCCCCACTTTGGCTCAATGACCACAATAACATTTGACCCTGTGACCAAATAAAATGCCGACTGCACGGCCTTCCAGGGACCACGAGGGCCTGTGTGAGCTGCCCCTCCCTGCCCAGGGCTCCAGTGCCTCTGTCGTCCCCAGATCTTCAGTTGCTGGTCCCACCGCGTTCAGGACTCAGCCCTAGGAACCACCTTAAAGTAGCTGCCAGGGTGACCGGTTGTCCCGGTTTGCCCAGGACTGAGGCGTGTCCCCCAGGAGGCAGAACTTTTAGTGCTGACACCAGACAGTTCCAGACACAGTGGGATGATTTGTCACCCTAATTTCTCTCTGGTCCCTACCTCTAGGCACGCCTATTTTCTTTTCCTTGTCATTCCTTTGTTGGAAGTCCCAGTGTGTCTGTGTGCTGCCACTCACGGATGGCAGTCGCCCCGCTGGCCTTGAGCTGCCGGAGAGCAGCCTGGGTCTGCTCAGCTGTGAGTCCCCGGCCCGGCCACTGAGCGCTTGGGTGAGCCTCGGACCGGGCTGCTCCCCTGGGCCCTGCGCAAGCCTCCCTCCCTCGGGCCCGCTTCCCATCTGTGCTGCAGAGCTGGCTCTGGGAGTCCCAGGGAGGGCTCTCCCGGCCCCAGCGTCCCAGTGTCCAGCTTGCCGTGGGTGGCCGGGCATGGCTGGACTCCTGGCCGGCAGAGCTGGCAGTGCCTGGCGGCAGGCAGGGCAGCACCCCCAGGGAAGGCACTGCACAGCCGTCACCTTCCTGGCCATCTGCCACCGCCGGGCCGTCTCTGGGCCAGGCTGCTGGTCCAGACCCAGGGCTGGGGGCGTCCAGAGTGACGGCCGGCTGCCAAGCCCCACTCCCCTCCCACCCCCGGGAAACAGATGGCCCAAGCTGGGGCGGGTGGCAGAGACAAGGACTGGCATTTGTGTGTGTGTGGTTTTTTAAAAAATCTGACACATTTTTGTCACGTCTTGGTGCATCAGAACAGTAAAGGAGGCGGGAGTGTGAAGAATGTTTTAACTCGCAACTTTGTAACAGTTCCAGTTTCTCCGGGCCTCCTCCCCCTCCCTCAAGCCCCCGCTGCGAGCCTCCAAGCCCATCTGTTCCCGGATCCCTGCCCCTGCCCCACACCCACCGTCCTTCCTCAGTCCAGGGGCAGAGACAGTCAGAGGAAGAGGCAGGGGCCCTCGAGACGGCTCGGGAACAGACACGGGCCTGCTTCCGGGCCCGCCGGGCGCCAGGCTCTGTGGCCCTGTGCAGTTCTGGCCCTCTCTGGGCCCACCCCCTTCAGTGTTCCCTGCCCCTGGTGCTCATGGGGGTGTCTGGGAGAGGGCTAGAAGTGGGGGGAGTGCAGGAGGGACCCAGACAGGCCGTTTGGGGGGCACAGTGCCCTGAGAGAATGGCCCTGAGCTGGCGGTGGCAGCCACATGCGTGAAGCCAGACTGAGGGTCCCAACTTCCCCTGCCTCAGGTCTGGAGCTTGGGGTCCCGCACCCCAGCCCGGCCACACGCCACCCGGCCTGCCGGTGGTTCTCTGACGACGCCCCAGGGCTGGCTGAGACCTGGGGCAGCTGCTCTGGTGTCAGGTGGAGGAAGGAGGAGCTGGGTGGTACCGGGGACCCAGGCGTCCCTCTGCCACCCCTCTGCTTGTCTGTCCGGCGGGCCCTGGGAAAGGAGGCAGGATGATGCCAGGCCCGAGAGGAGTTGCCCCTCAGCCCCCGGTGCCATGGCCCCAACCCCATGTGGCGATAGCTTCCATTGTTAGGTCATGACAATGCCAAGTATCCTCAGAGAGCAGGAGCCCACGCAGCAGGCTGGCAGGGCTGCCCTGGGTGGCCGTGGGGAGAGTCGCGAAGCGTGAAAGGCAGTGCCCCGGGCGACTCAGCCAAGGCCAGGGCTGGAGTCCTGCTCCCTCCTCACGGCTCAGAGAGGACTGCTGGGCCCCTGGGCCATAGCCTGGGCGGGGTGGGGCAGGTAGTGGGGTACCGCTGGCCAGGGGCGAAGACAGCAGCCCCTGGCTCTGCTCCCGTTCCCTGCATCCCTCCACACCTAACACGGACTCCCGGGTCCGGGCCTGCAGCAGGGAGCAGAGGCACGGGGGAGGCAGAGGGCACCTGCACTGACCCGCCCACACTGGGCACAGCTGGGAGCAGAGTCCAAGGCCAGGCCACGCTGCCGCCGAGCACAGAAGGCCGCCACTCAGGGCCGGGGCAGCCCCCAACATTGAACACCCCCCCCCCCGTCTCCACACGCCGGCTAGGCTGAGGGTGGGCCGGGGAGTCCCTGCACGAGGCGGTCTCGTGTGCCCAGGAGGGCGGGCTCTGGCCAGGCCAGCAGAGGGAACCCGCGTGGCCCAGGCGCTGGCCCCCAAGGCCCCGCTGAGCCAGGGCCATGTGAGTCTCGCCATATGGGTGCAGGGCGGCTGCGGGGGGAGGAGCTGGAGTTGCCATGAGAACCCGCACGCTGGCATTTCCTCTTTTGGGGAGGCTGAACCATGCTTCACAGGCAGTGTAGGCTTCTGAATCCCATTTCTCTGTGTTTTTTAGGAAGGGAAAAAGGGCAGGAGAAAGGGAGTGGGAAAAGGCAAGGAGGGAGAGATATGGAGCCAGACAGAGGGAACCAGAGGGACAGAGGGAGCTGTCTGGGGCTGTGAAGGTTGGCCAGGGACCTCTGTTCCCCAGAGCTTGGCTAGGGCTGAAGAGCAGTCTGGAGTCCCCTTGCGAGAACCTTTTCCTTAAAACACACAGCCTTGTGCCCTGCCTGAGGTTTTTTTGTTTTTTGTTTTGAGACAGAGTCTCGCTTTGTCGCCCAGGCTAGAGTGAGTGCCGTGGCGTCAGCCTAGCTCACAGCAACCTCAAACTCCTGGGCTCAAGCAATCCTCCTGCCTCAGCCTCCCTAGTAGCTGGGACTACAGGCATGCGCCACCATGCCCGGCTAATTTTTTCTCCATATATTAATTGGCCAATTAATTTCTTTCTATTTATAGTAGAGACGGGGTCTCGCCATTGCTCAGGCTGGCTTTGAACTCCTGACCTCGAGTAATCCGCCCGCCTCAGCCTCCCAGAGTGCTAGGATTACAGGCGTGAGCCACCTCACCTGGCCCTGACTGAGGTTTTAAAGCAACTCTTTGGACTCTTCCTGAGTTCCTGACCTTCATCCCTGTCCCCTGAGTGCACAGCCCTCTGGACAGTGACACTGGGAGCAGTAGTGTCAGGCCTTGCTCTCAGGGGGCCCCAGGTGGGGCTGGAGCCCATACTAACCCGATCCCACCACAGACCCAGAGGCAGCAGAACTCCACGTGGCCGGAGCAGACACGAAGGCTGCTTGGAGAACAGGGAGCTGTGGGTGGGGACTGATGGGAGAGGACAGCTTCCACCCATCCGTCTGATCAGGGGCTGGGGTTGGGAGCAGACAGACCTGGGTGTGGGTCTGGCTCCATCTCTTCATACCTCTGACAAATGAATCGACCCAAGCCTCAGTTTCCCCATTCTGCAGAACGAGAGTACCTGCCTTGCAGGTTTCCTGCGGCACGCACACAGTGGAGAGGCTAGAGTAGTCTCCTGAAGTGGCAGCTGCTGTTGGTGAGATCGTTCAGGACACGGTCCCAGTGCCAGCTGCGGAGGCAGGGGCGTCCTGGCCCTGGAGGAGTGCCCACCCTGGACAAAGGTGTGGTGGTCCTGTGTTCTGGGAGGCAGTGCTGTAGAGAGAAGAGTGGGGTGGCAGGAAGAAGGCTGTGAGTGACAAGGAGAGGGCTTGGGGTCTGGGGACAGAACCAGGCCTGGCCCATCCCAGGCTCGGGCCAGCCAGGCCTTGTGGGCAGCTTTGGTGAGGGCAGCTTTCTAGGAAGTCCCCTCCAGACCCTGTAAGATGGAGCTGCCAAGCGGGAGGCCAATACTGTGGCAGCAGCTCCCTCAGAGCTTCCTGGTCATGTGCGGGGAGAGCCGGTCCCCTCTATCTGGCATCTCCCAGCTGTAAGTGGGTACAGTGCTGTCCTTCTCTCCTCTAGGGCTGAGGAGGAGCCTGTGGGATGAAGGTGCAGGCCTTCTTGAAGATAGAGATGGGAAGCCTGGCCTTGTTCCCTCTGGCAGGTGTGGGGCTGGGCCCCCTGGCCCTGTGGCACCTCCACCAACAGCAGAGCCCAAGTCTCGACTCCTGCTCTGCAAGATCTTTATGTCCCATTTGGTTCTACGGTAACTAGAGAAGTGACATCATTCCCATTTGACGCCTTGGAAGACTGGGGCCAGGAAAGGACAGGAACTTACTCACGGCCACCCAGCTACAGGTGGCAAAGCCAGGATTAGCACCCGGGTTTGTCTAGCTCTGGAACCCTTTCCATGCCTCTCTCCTCTGCCCTGTCCGGCATCTCCAGTGGGCACTGGGCAGGTTATGGGAGCCCCGTGCTCAGCAAGGAGTGAAAAGTTAGGAGAGATGGGTGCGGGGCCTTGGGCCCCATCTCTGCTGGCTGGGCTGTGACCACACCTAGCTAGCCTAGGAACCCTGCTTAGGGAAGAGTGTGGTCTTGGTCCCAGGTGGATTGAGATCAACTCTTAGCTTTGCCACCTACTCCCTCTGGTTCACCCAGCATGTAACCTCTCTGAACCTCCATTTCCTCATCCAGAAAATGGGTGGCGGCACAGTATGAGTTAGACTAGACTAGGTTTTGCTACAGTAACAAACAACCTTAAAATCTCAGAGATTCCAAAGAACTCAGTTTCATTTCTCACCCCCATTACACACATGGGATGTCTGCTCTTCTTCATCGTCACTTGGGACCCCAGGCTGATGGCACACGCACCATCTCAACATGTGCATCTCCAGTTACTATGGCAGCAGGAAGAGGGATGGCCAAGGCCATACTGGGTCTTAAAGCTTCCTCTTACAAATGACTCATCTAACTTCTACTAACACATCATTGGCCAAACCAAATCATACAGCCACACCTCGCTTTGTTAGGGACAGGGAACTGCAGCTCCATACCACGTGCCTAAAAGGAAGAAAACTGGTCTGTTACTAAGCATTCTTTAGTGATGATCACAGGCACCTGCCACACAGGGATACCCTGAGCATCCAATGAAGTATGGGGGACAGGGACCCTGGTCACAGAAGTTACCTAACAAATGTTAGCTCTGCCCCCTTCACCCCAGCTCCACGGAGACCAAACCCCTGGGCCTTGCCATCAGATGGGTCACCAGGGTTGTTGGACATCTCCCGCCTTTGCTTCTGAGACAGATGAGTGGCAACTTCCCCAGGGCACACATGGTGGCAGCTGAGGCAGGAAGAGCAGATGGACACCTTCATTCTCAGCTGAGTAACCCCCGTGCCTCATTTAACAAATGAAAAGGTAGCAGGTACCAGCAATACCTTGACTTTATTAGGGGCTTCCTGAGACCCAGATCAGATTACATTTCCTGCAATTGAACAGTAAATTCAATTTTGCTCAACAAATGTTCCCTTCAGCACCGAGAGGGCCTGGGGTGGTCTGGATGGCTGGGGACCCTACCTCTCGCTCAGCAACTTCCCTCATCCCTCAGGAAGATGCTGTCCTCCTCGGCTGGGGGCCTTCCCTGGAGTCCAGCCTCAGTCCAAGCTGAGTAAACAAGGCCTGGTGGGAGAGGATAGCAGGCAGGGAGGGTGACTTAGGACTTGGGCCACGTGAGCCCAAGTGGGGCCATAGCAGCAGACTGGGCCTTGGGGAGTCCAGAGCCACCTGGACTCTATGGACTTCAAGCCCAAAGCCACAGGGCTGTGTGAACTTAGGCAAGTCCCTTTTCTTCTCCCCCAGTTAAGGGATTGGCCTAGGTCACTGTACTCACCTTTGACATCAGGGTTCTGAGCCTCTTTGCCAACCTGCCTTTCCTCTCTCCAAAGTGAGGTGTCAGAGTGGGAGAGAGGGCCTTATCCGCCGGCCGTGTCATTGCCCTGCACCCGCTGGGCTGGGCCGGGGGCTCAGGCCCTGCCCTCCCTGCAGTAGCTCAGTCAGAAGAGGAGACAGACAGGTAGCCAGGCAAAAGCCAGGGCGGGTGATAGAGGAAGGCTGCCTGGTTTCCAGCCATGGCACAGACCAGCCAGGCTGCAGGTTAAGCCCAGTTTCCTGTCCTCACCTCCCCCACTGGGCCTGCTGGTGACCACCACTGGGCTGGGGAAATCCAGGAGGACTCCCTGGTGAAGGAGGAATTGGAGCTGGACCCTGAACCACTTAGCTGGGCAGGGAGGGTGCCAGGTGAACAGCAGGAGCCATGGCTTAGAAGCAGGGTGCACCTGGAGTAGGTGTGAGTGACAGATGCCACCTGGAAGATATACTGATACAGGGAAATGTGATTTCCATGTTCTAGCAACACGCGTGTACGCACACACACAGGCGCACACTCCTTCCCCAGCTGCAGCTGTAGGCAGGAGATGTTCGGGCTGCTCGGGAAGAGAGAAGAGCTGCCAGCGTGCTTTCATGGTGCAGGGAAGGGATGCCCGGAAGACCCAGACAGGCTTTCAAGTCCCCAGGGACTCTGGGAAGGGCCCTTCTACCCAGCGAGTCGGTAGCAGCAACAAGAACAGCGGCAACTCTTTTGGGCACTTCACCGTTAATGAAGCACTTGGTATGCGTCATCGTCCTCGACCCCACAGTGGCCCTGGGAGGGACGTCCTGGCCACTGCTTGCCCAACTCACAGCGAAGGGAAGACCTGCCACCGTTGGCGGGCCGGCCGTGCCCCTCCACTGGTCGGCTCCGTGCCTGCTTGCGGGGCGCATGCGCCTTCCTCGGGGCACCTGCGTGCTGAGCGGCGGGGCGGGGTTCTGGCGCCAACGGGAAATGGGTTCTGGATTTAACACCTGGTGGCCTTCCTTGGCTTCTCTGGAGTTTAAGTGTCCCAAGGCTGCCCTTGCCCAACCTCAGCCACGAGTCCCTGAGGCCCTGGCCAAACACAGAGACCCAAAGACCCCAGCCCTAAAACACCAAACCGCCAACCCGTGGCGCCCATTCCCTTGAAAGAGTGAGCAGGTAAACGGGCCGTGGCGCTGCCCAGACTTCTGCGCTTGCTGGGTGGCCCACAAGCAGGCGCTGTCAGTTTGCACGTGCTTGTTCTTCGTGGGAGGCTGCCTGCAAAGTGTGGTTTCAAGGACTTTGGACTGCGAGGGCAGCTCCGCGTGCTCCGAATCACTGCTCACTGATTCAGAGCGTGACTTAAAGAGATCTAAACACCTGGGGCCAGTGTAGGAGCCTCTTGGTAGAAATGAACTGCTACCGGTCAGTACTGGAAACAAACTTAAGTCTTTTCATTTGACCTTAGGAAGGAACTCTTGCCACCGTTTCCAAGTTTAGGTTGCCAAAAGCTTGGGGTACACCCTGGGCCACCTGATGTTCAGGGTCTTTTGGACTCCTAGGCCAGTGACTGTCATTTTCTATTTTTAGCTCAGTTTGGTTTCATTAGCTTGCTTAGCTCTTTCAGTATTCCCCAATAAATTATCATGAAGGTGTGAACTGCCCCTTAGAGCCTTGCGTTGCTTTCCAAACACTGTTCATTCAGCCCTCTTTCATTCATTCATTCATTCAAAAATTTTTTATTAGATGTCAGGCACCAGGCTGCAACAGGAGAAGCCCCTGCTCCTGGAGCCTGATGGGCTGACTCAGGTCGCTCAGCCCAGTCAAACCTGCGGGGTCCAGGCTGCCCCCTGCCGGACGCCCGGGGTTGCCATGGTGACCCTCTGCCGGTCTTTGCTATGAGGAGACAATCAAAAAATAACAGCAAGGACTGTTTTATTCTGTGTCCCACCTGGGAGCCATTTAAGCCTCCCCACTCCTTTTGACACGTAATAACTTTTTTTGCTTTTGAGATTATCCTGAAATCTCACTTCCTCCTCTTCCCCCTCTCTCCAAACCTCCGTGGCGTTGTCTCTGAGAGCCTCAGGTCCTAAAAACGCACACACGCACGCGCACGAACATGCTGTGCACATGCTTACACACCACACTGTGGACAATCAACGGCAAAGCCCCTCGCCTCACACCACTCACCACTTCACAGTTTGCAAAGCCCCTTTAACGTCTGATCTTATGTGGGAACCATGGGGGCGGCATTTATCACCCACCCATTTTCCACGCAAGAAGACTGAGACTTGGGATTTTAGGTAGGTTGACCAGTGTCACCTGGTGGCTGAGTGGGGCTGGAACTAAATCTGGTTGATACTCCTGCTTTTCCATAATCACCCCCTGGGATGACAGAAAGGAGGGAGGGAGACGACAGAAGGATCTCCACCCTCCCCGTTCTCCCCTTGGTGGGCGTCTCCTGCCCAGCCTGGCAGTGCTGGGGGCTGCTGCACTCAGAGGAGGCTGGTCTGTGGGAGTCCAGCCTGGCACAGAGCTGCTCCTGCCCCGCTAGATGCCAGGCCCTTCACTGTCCTCTGGGTGCCCTTGGTCTCTGTCCTCTAGACAGAGCCCTTCCCCGCACTCCCGTCCCCGGCGGACCCAGCTCTCTGCCCTAACACGTGTGGCCTTGAGTCTTTGGTCTCCCTGTGCCTGGGTCAGTCGCATTCACATGGCTATTTCCTCGGCCTGACGTGCACGCTGATCGCAGGCGTTCCCAGTGACCACGCGCGTGTGCTGCCCCGCAGCACACAGATCTTCCATAAAGCCCTCTGTCTTACCAAAGAACGGACATTCACATTGAACACAGGCATCACCGCCGCTGTGTTTCCTTTGAGTCCATGAACACTTACATAGGCCACACCTTTGCCTAGAATGTTCCCATTTCCATGCTCATGGGTGTTGCTTTCAAAACACATTTGTACTGGGCAGCCAAGGCGGGTTCTGGGCTTGCAGACCGCACAGATTGCTATCCTGCATGGCTCCCACGTCTGGTCCGAATGGTCTCTCTCAGCTCGGAGGACCGAGGGTCATTCCTTGGATATGTCTTAAAGGCACTTTAAGGCTGGCACGTTAAAGGCACTTTAAGGTCAAGACCCACAGCAGCATGTGCAGCGCTGAGAGCCTTCCAGCCATGGGGGCTCTCAGGCACATGTGCAGGATTCCTGGGGCCACTAGGGTGTGTGACTACAGGGCTGAGGCCGAGGCCTGGGCCCCTCTTGTCCCTCTCCAGGGGTCCTCTGTCTGGCAGGGCAGCGGGGAGCAGACTGGGACCCTAGAGGGTCGGGGGCCTGCCTAGGTCTCCAGCCCTGGAGAGTGGGGTGAGCAGGGCTCCCAGGGAAGCGGATGCGGGGGTTGGCATGGTCCTGGGGCGCTCATTCTACCCAGGGCCTGACGCCTCCAGTCCTTGCTGTCATTTCAGGGTCTCTGAGGCGCAAAGAGGGCAGGCCAGAGGCGGAGACAGCCGTGGCCTGGAGGTCTGTGCCCTGGCCGTGGGAATCAGGCTGCGGTCAGGACCAGGCCAAGTCCTGCTGTGGCTAAAGCTGCTGTTTCATGTTCTCTTGGCAGCAGCGGTCGGCACGGGAGTAGAGCCCAGCCTCGGAGTGGGGATGTAGACCAACGTGGGTTCACATCTCAGCTCTGCCACTTCCCTGCTGGCAAATCGGCCACGCGCATGGCTGTGTGGGTGGACATTGCGGCTCTGTGGGCCCAGCTGCGTGTCCTTGGGCCAGTGGCTTACCCTCTGTGAGCCTCAGTCTTCCCCTCTGTAAAATGTTCTAGTGACATATCTGTCTCGTAGGTTTGTTGTATGTGAAGTGTGTAGCATGTGCCTGGCACACAGTAAGTGCTTCCTCAATGCCGGCTCTGATGGTTAACGTTGATATTGTAATTATTATTGTGTCTGGGTGATCTTGGGGCTCAGTCTCCACATCTGTAAAATGGGGTTAAGGATGGTTCTGAGGGCCCCAGCTGCCCACACCTGATAACGGTGCCCACTTGCTCCGCACCAGCTCCTGACCGCCTGCCTGCCTTTCCTAGATGCGCCGGACGGAGCCCAGAGAGACGGAGGGAAGGAGGCGTCAAGGAAACAGACACTCACCGTCCATCCATCACTTAGCAATGGCAGCGTCAGTTTTCATAGAGAAGGGGAATCTGCAAAGTAGTCAGAAAAATATTTCCTCTGTGACTCCAGCAGCCCAGCTGTTCCCTTTCAGGGAAAGTGCTGAGGGCTGAAAATGAGGAACAATGAGAAACGGGCACAGGGAAGCAGAGAGGGCGGCCGGAAGGACGGGCAAGGCCGACCGGAAGCAAAGGGCGTGGGGCACATGGCAGAGAGGGAGCAAGGACTTGTGGAGGCTTTTCCCAGGCTGCCGGAGCAGCCTCCAGCAAGGCTGCCGCTGCCCGGGATCCTGGGCTCAAAGGCAGCATGCGTGGAGGCAGGAAGCTGTGATTCTTAGTGTTGTATTTGTGCATCTTCCCCCTCCGCCTCTAGGAGACACCTGGGCCCTTGGCCTGTTGGTAATGGCGGCATCTCAGCAGCGAGTTAAAAATTGGCCTCAGTGCTGGTGGGGGGAGAGCCTGGAGAGGAATTTCCAGGCTCGCGCTGTGCCTCTGGCATACCTTCCTTGCACCCCCACGCGGGGCTACTGTGGCTGCCCATGGGACTTGTACAGACCCGCCCCTGTCCAACCTCCACTTTGCACCTGCTGCTCCCTTCTCCTAGAATGTCCAACCGCCTCTCTACATGTCAGGATCCTACCACTCTGCAAGACTGTCTCTTCCAGGGAGACCCCTGGGATTCCCTCCCTCCCCTGAGCTGCCTCTCCCCTCCCTTCCAGCTCTGATGACTACCCACTTTGGGTCGGGCCCTCCTGTAAGCTGGGCTGCCTCTCCCCTGGCTGTGCTTTCAGCCCTAGCTTCCTGGTGTCTTCTGTCAGGGGCAGGCCAGCCTGGGGGGCACAGCCAGGACCCGATCTGAGAGCCTCCAGGGGCCTGGGGCTCTCAGCCAGCCACCCTGCCCACGCCCACACTCCGCCACTGGAGCCCGTGGGGAGGCCACCCTCGGCCTCAGCGTCAGGGCCTGTGAAACGGCAAGTGGACCGGATGAGTTCCAGGTCCCACCACAAGCCACCCTGCCCAGCCCTCCCAGCCCCTGCATGCCCTTCGGCTGGAGAGCACGCCAGCGCCGGTCCCAGCTCTGTGCTCACGCCATTGTGATGCTGGGCAGGTTGCTGAGCCTCTCCGTGCCTGTTTCCCCACACGTGCGGCAGGGAGGGTAAGAGGCTGCTGAGAGTGCGAAGCGAGGAGACGCCGAGATCACAGGCGGGCCCAGGGGTCTGCTGGCGCGGAGTACAGGCTTGGTAAATGTTAGGCACTATTATTGTGTCCTGGGGTCTGTGGGGCGTCTGCCTCCTTTCTGGGCAAGCTTCAAGGAGCCTGCCCCCGGCCGTCAGCTAATCCAGCCCCGTCACTCTGACACTTCTGACTGTCGAAGTGCCTGGCCCTTCCTGGGGTGCTCCTGGGGCAGAGAAGCTCAGGCCGTGGGGGTGGAGGTGGAGGAATGGTCACAGCAGACCCCGCGGGGGTGTCTGGGGCAGGGACTGGCCCTCAGTCCTTGCCCTGACTGTGTCACACCTGCTCCCAGGGCTGCGGGCTGGCTGGCCACTGGCCGAACCCTCCTGGGAGTAGGGAACCCCAGCTCCTGCCTGTGCTGCCTGTGCGTGACCCCCTGCTCATGGATTTGTGACCCGTGTTTGGGGTGCAGAGAGGAGGGAAGAAGCGCCTGACCCTCTCACTTAGCTATGAGCCACAGCCTCATCCCTCCTCTTCTCTCCTTCCTGTCCCTGCCCCCAACTCAGCTCTCTGGGTTGCCATGACAGCAGGACGCTGGGACACGGGACTCCTGTGGGGACGGAACCAGAGTGTGCCAGCGCGGTGCTATGTCCGGGATGGTTGGGGGCTCCATGTACGCTGTGGGCCCCGTGCATGCTACTGTGTGGTGGGGTGGAGCAGGACCCCTGCCAGGCCACACGCCTGGACCACACCGGTTTCCCCGACACGCCGCTGGGTGAGTGCCCAGCAGGAACGGTCAGCGCTTCGCTGACTGTTGTACTGCTTTCCTGGGGCTGGCAGGCGGGCAGAGTCTTGGCGGCTGGGTGTCTGCCCCATCACACCCTACCACGCTCATGCTGAAGCCCCTCCAACCAGCCTTCTTAGGTTACCCCCCACCCACAGTCCCCAAATGAGGGAGGCAGGATAGGCAGTGTCTCTACTTTGCAGATGGGGAAACTGAGGCCTGCTCGTGCACTTGCTCGTTCACCAGACTCATCTCCCAGCTCCCCAAGGCAGTGGAGGTGTCTGAGAGGCATCTGGGATCCCACAGCCCTGGGCCATCACCCTCCCACGCCTTAGCAAAGCTGGTGGTGTCCACCTCGGGAGAATTAGGGTTAGGGCCTCACCGGGGCTCCTGCTTACCCCCCAGTGCCCAGAGCTGGCTGCTGGCCGGAGGAAAGGCTGCGGCCCTTCCAAAGCGGATCTGGAGCCAGCTCTCTGGCGGGACAGGGCAGACGTGTGCGGGGCTTGGAGTGAGGGCAGGCGCGTAGCTAAGGCGGCGGCCCTGCATGTGTGGGGGACTGGCCGGGTGACAGAAGGCTGAACACAGCAGCCTGAGTGTTCACGATGCTTCCCACACTTCAGACAGGAGCTGGCGTTTGTCTTTAGCCATGAGACGCGCGCACAGCACGCTGGGTCAGTGTGAGCGGGCACAGGGGCACGGGTGGCAGTGGGCCGCCCTCGCCTGCTGGCCTGCTGCGTGGGGAACTCTTGGAAGAGAAGCGCTGGAAGAATGCGCTCCCCCACTGTGGGCGGGGCCTCCTGGCTCCGCCTTCCAAGCCCTGAGGTTCGGAGCCTTTGCATGCTGGCTGGCCAGGGCGCCCTGCTCCCAGTCCCCTCAGCCCTTGTTTGGGGACTAGGTGGGTGGTCCTCCTTCCGGCGCTCTGTTTGGGGAGATCAGGCCCCGACGGGACTGTTCTGAGGGCGTGTGCATGGGAGGAGGGTGTCTGGATGAGCAGAGGGCGACCACAGTCTGTGAGTCACTGGGAACTTCCTGAGGGCACACTAGGCCTCCCCCCCACTCGTGTGATGAGCCACGACTGCGCAGGTATTTATGGCTGGTTTTCACGCCCCAGCAGGTGGTGTGAACACTCTGCGGCTGAGTGTACACCTGTACACCGTGTTTTGATCTGAGAGTGTGGGGAGCCCGCCCGTTGTGTGGGGCCTTCTAGATAGCTCCACCTCAGGCTGTCACATCACTTATCCCATGGGGAGGGTCCAGGGTCCCACCCCCAGGCCCCCATCCAACTCCAAGTCTCTGTGACTGTCATCAGGTCCTCGCTTCACCAGGATAAGTCACCCCACCTCTCTTAGCCCAGTTTTCTCACCTGTGAAATGGGCAGCAGCCCCTTCTGCGTGTGTTGTGGCTGAACGCGCCAGGCCAGCGCTGCGCCCTCGGCTCCAGGAGCGACCAGGGAGAGGCTGCCCAGGCTCGCTGCTCTGGCCCAGCCCATTTCCCGCCGTTCCCTCTTGCCCTCCTGGTGTCGCTCACGCCTGCATCGAGGCCACCCTCATTTCCCAGGTGACAGAAGCACCACAGGCAGGTGGTGGGCCCAGGTGGATGCAGGTGGATGCTCAGGTCTTCCCTTGAGACTGCTGGAAGGAGGGGATCCCCTCAGCCAGCTGCCCTCCGGGCTGTGGTCACTGTGTGTGGGTTTCCAGCAAGCCCGCGCAGCGAAGGGACAGGGAGGAGGGCACAGCCCGCGTGCCAGCCACAGGGCTCCCCTCCAGCACAGCTGGGAGGCCCGCGAGGGGGCTTAAACAATGGCAGGAGACGCGGAAGGGTCCTCTCAGGACACCTGCCCCGACACACGGGACAGAGACCACACACGGGCTTCGCCCTGGCGCGTGCCACCATCTACAGCACAGTGATACTGACAGAGAAAGCCACCAACAAACCAGACGCGCGAAGCAGCGCTGCTGCCCAGCTGGACGCAGAGCCGCACAGCGCAGCCCGGGCCGACCCGCACCGCCCTGCCAAGGGCTCTGCATGGGTCGTTTCGCTCATCCTCAGGCCCCGTGGGGCAGGTGTCTTGCTCCGGAAATGTGGGCAGAGAGGTGAGGGGACTTAGGCCTGAGTGCTGTGCCCAGAGACGTCCATGTTCTAGCAGGTTCTCTCCATCATCACACCCACCCATTTCCCTGTTTACAGAGACGCCGTCCTCCGCCCCTTCCCATGCTAGAGGAGGACGAGAGGGGATTCGGAGGTCCGGGGGTCTGCCTGGAGGCAGCACCAGACCCTCAGGAAGGACATGTTCCCTTGGGCTGGGAGGCTCGTGAGAGCAAGCCCGCTCTGGGGCACTGGGGCCAGGCCACCTGCAGCACCTCCCTCCGTGGCCCGTGCGGCGAGGGCATCTGCTGGACGCCTTGCCTGTCACCAGAGGCATGGCACACCCGAGAATGGCAGGAAAGAGGGTGACAGGCCCATGGCGCCGGAAGACCCTGCAGGAGCTCCCGGTGTGACCTGACCACTGCTCACGCCCAGCAGCTCACCAAGGTCCGACCTAGACAAGGGAGGGAGGGCCCTTCTCACTGGGGTCCTCCCCACCCCGAGGGTTGCCCCCATCGCCAGTCCTGCCCCAGAGAGACCAGGAGAGACAGAGGGAAAGAGATCCTCGAGGGGCCAGGGAAGGGCTGACTCTGGTCCCTGGGGGCCATGCGGGCTGGGGCCTCACCGGGCCAGTCCACGCCCAGAGGGCACACGCTGCCCAGTCTGGGTAGCAGCTGGTGGGTGCACTGTGGCACCTTCTACGCACCCCACACGCCCCATTCAGTGTGCTGCAGGCTTTGAAACCAGACAGACACATGGAGCTCTCCTCAGGGCCCGGAGAGGGCACCCAGTCCTGAGAGCTGTCCCTCGAAGATGCCTCTGTCCCCTCTGACCAGGCCACTCTGGCTGGCACTGCAGGTACCCACCCAAGCTGCCCCCACCACGGTGGGCAGGTGATGGACGTGCAGGGACCAAGAGCACTGGGAGTTCTTGGGCAGGAAGAGAGCTCCGGGGAATGCCACCCCCATACACCACGCCGGCTGTCAGAGTCGCCGAGCACCAGTCTCCCACCTCCTTCCGCGTCCCGCGGCCCGGGGAGAGGCAGGAGGCCCGGGCTCCAGGGCCTCAGCACCAGCTTGCTGTGTGGCCCTGGGCAGCCAGCGGTCTCCTGTGCTTCTGCGAAGAGGCCTCAGGGACAAAGGCTGCACGAGTGAGATGAGGGGTGCAGAGAGGACCCCGGGAGAAGAGGCTCAGCCCGAGTGTGTCTGATAAGAATTTTCGGGATTCCCTCTTTCCTCTGGGAGAAGGCAGCCACTCGCAGAAGTATCGCTCCACCCGGGTCACTTGAGGACGGGGGAGCGGCATCCGCCTGCTGCCCGTGCCCACGTGGCAGGCCCAGCCCTGTGCCCGGTGTGGCGCTGGGCAGGCTGTGAAGAGTGCGTCCGGTGACCTCCGCAAGGCCAGGCTGGGAGAGGGGCCTTCTGAGGCCTGGACTGCCCACCTTGCCTGCGTGCAGCCCTGGCAGAGCTGAGCACTCCACGACCACCCAAGTGCCCCGTTAGGCTGCCTGGCTCTGCCTTCCAGAGGGGGGTCTCAGAGACCGCAGGCCCCAGCCTGAGGGACGGTGGGGTGTCCATGTTCTCCAGCCTGCTTCCTCGCTCCCTGCTCCCTGTTGGCAGCTGTGGCCCCAGGGCTGTTGTTTCCCTCCTCCGCTCCCTGGGGTGGGGGTGCCCTGTGCTTGGTGGAGCCTGGGGTGGGCCAAGCCCTGGCATCTGGGACCTCTGCCCCCAGCTGTCTCTCCTCCCACCGCTGTCCTTAATGAAGCATAAACAGCCTCATTAGGCTGGATCTAATGAGGAGCCCTGAGATGGGGTGGACGGGGGAGGTGGGGGGAGCGCCCCATTCACCAGGCCTACTGTGCACCAGAAGTGTCACACTTGTTTGCTCCTAGAACCCCTCCCACCACCCTTCAAGATAGGCATGACTACCCAGGTGATGGGAATACAAAGTGGCTCAGAGAGGGCAGGTGACTTGTCCAAGGTCACACAGCTAGTTACTGGCTTCCCTGGGTTGCGTACCCTGAGTGTCTGACCCCAGTGTCTAGCTCCTCCCAACATCCCAACTGGTCTCTGAGTCCCAGGCTTGGCGGGACCGCCAACACCCCACGTGGCGGGTCTGTCCGGCTGCAGTGTGCGCTCGGCAGT